TAAAAACATAATTTAAAACACAAATAAATATTTTACATTAATTAAAAAACAGAGAAATTTGAAACCTAAACTACTAAAACAAATATAGAAAATAAAACTTAAATATTAAAACACCTGAACCTAATTTCTATATTTTTCACGGACTTGTTAAATTTCTAAAACGCTATTTTTCAGCGACGAAATTCCTTTATTAATTCAATTTTTTTTTCTAGAAAAGTTAAAGTCTTGTCTATTTTTTCCGCAAGTACGTCTTCGCAAACCGCTTGAAGAGCTCTTCTTTCTCAATTTGTCCCTTCCTGATGGTCGACGAAGTTGGACTTCCGGTGGACGCTCTCCCACGGTGCCGTTACACTCATCCTTGAGGTCGAGGGCAAAATCCACGTCGGACTCGGAAGTTCTTGACATTTTGTTGGATCCGATGGTAGATCTCGAATGTACCATCTCCGGATAAAGGATCGATTTTGGACTGTTACGACAAACCTCCCACGCTTTTTGGTTGCTAAATGGTTTACCATTATTGGTAATTTTGTATTGGTAGCACGCGGTCGATAAAATATTGAAATCGTTGCGACAACTTTTGTGCATATTTTAAGATTGTCAAAGATGTTGTTAAATTTTGTGATAGCCGCTCGTAGGTCACACCATTTTATATTAACCGAATCGTATGTCTGCTGTGTTTCCCTTCCTAATGGCGCATGAAAGTGGTCTAGAACACGATGCTAAAAACTTCAACCCGAATACGCGTTCCCGGTGTCACTGTCTTGTGATATGAAAATCTAAGTGTTCGCTAAACCTTCCTTGTTGTCTTCGATCAATTGCGTAGTTCTCTCTTTTTTTTTTTGTTATTTTCCTTTTGTTTTGCCTTTTTTGAATTGATTGTTGTCTTTCTTGGACCGTTCATCGTCATCGTTGTGGAGGTTTATAGGTTGGGATTGTGTGACATCCCTAATTTAATGGCCATAAAAGATTGATTTTATTTATGCTTGTTTGAAAATCAGAGTAATATTTTACATAAAAGTGTTGCGAAATTTGTTCCCAAAATAAAAATATGATAAAGATTTATCAAAGCATTTCCGTAGAAATGTGTTTCATTAAAAAGACTCGGGATGTCATGTTTGATACAGATCAAAAGCATAAACAATACATTACAAGTCTTACAACAGTTATTTACAACTACTGGCCTATAATCCAAAAATCCCTCATCATCATCCAAATTATGCTTTGGGTCCACTACCTATAAAACAGAAATCTGTTGAGTAGGTCAGGCTTGGGAGTCTGGTGAGCATATAGGGTTTTCAACCCATAAATAATAATAAATTCATTAATTTCATCAATCAACAATAAATTTATTAATTTCATCAAACCAACAATAACCCTAATTACTTATTCCTGCAATCCTCACTTTATGGTCCTAAACACCTATACAAGGGACCTAGTCTAAGGATTTTATCATCGGGATGAACTTTACTGCTATGGGGATTCCTTAGCAACCATGAGGGGTATGGAGTACACCGGTGAACATCAAGTCCACAAACACCTACAGGTTACGATCCCGCTAGCGTTCCACTGAACTGTCTAGAAGAGTCTGTGGTCGTCATCCATACTCCGCTAGATGACTGGAACAACAACAACATCGAGGCCTCTCATCAATTTATCTCACACCAACTATTTCATCTACCCATGTTATACGCAACATATTTGTAGATAATATATATATATATATATATATATATATATATATACAGTTTAAATCATTTTAAAACTTGTATAAATATTCATGCAACAACCATCTCAAATAAACAATCAATATATATATATATATATATATATATATATATATATATACACACACACACACACACACATAGCACATATTTATATAAAATACTTCATATCTATGTGTAAGATGAAAGTGACTATACACTCACTTGATTTGATGATAATCGGGCAGCACTTCGTTTCTTAAAATGATCGTTTCTGATAAAACCGAGAGTTTTATTGAGAAACCGGGCTCTGTGAGGGTCAGAGCTTCAAAACCGAAAAGATAAAATTTTCCAGGTCTTTGGACACTTTGGGATGTGTTTCGGGTGTTGAAAATGATATCGGGGCTTCGGGGGAAGTCAATATAGTCAAAATATAAGTTTATGGGTGAAAAATGACATTTTTCTAATTCTAGCACGGAGATCTCGCAACCCTCCTATTTATAGGGTGCGAGACCGAAGACTGGTGGCTAAGGAGGCTCCACGTAGTAGCTGCGAGGCTCGGACACGGAGGGGAGACGCGGCTCGTGCGAGCATCGGACACGCGGACGGCAGGTGGCGCTGCGAGGCGAGGCCACGAGGCTAGCTATGCGAGACCGAGACAGATGGCGAACACACGTCGGATCCTGATTTGGCCATGCTTCAGATACATCATTAGCATCGGACACGGGTCAGATTCACAAGGGTGGCCGGATCTGTACCATGCGAATTTCTCGGAAATTGCACCCAAAACTTCTAAAATTCATAACATTCGCATACGAGCTCCATTTTTGACGTTCTTTATATGCACGCGCAGGCGGAAATATATATTCTACAACTTTCGTTTAGACTTCGTCGGTTAATTTTGAATTTATTTTAATATTATTATTTTTAACAAACGGGGATAGGAAAATCCGTTAAAAAATCATAACTTCTTCACACGACGTCCGTATTCGTCAGTATTTTTACCGTTGTACTACTATTAACGAGACCTTCGGTTCTCGTTTAGGTTGTGTGGGCTAAATATCGCTCAATCTTAAATTCGAGTTTTTAGCTGTCTACTGCTAAGCTGAAACTTAGAAAAATCATAGCTTCCTCATACGAAGTCAGATTTGAACGTTCTTTTTATCAAAATTCTCGGCTTAACGAATACGATGAATTTTGTTTAGATCGTTAAGGCTAAAAAGCATTTTATCGTAAATTCACTTTTTACGCTTCTCGATGCCGTGCCAGTTCCGTCGCGAAACTTCGACATGTCATATATTCTTCGTTATAACTCGGATTTCGTCGTTCTTTATATCTTCGGAATCCTTGTTTCGACCACTACAATTTTCTTAAAAGATATCGGCATTTTCTAATATTTATTTTCAACGCTTATTTTTATTATTAATTAATTAAATCATAACAATTAAACAAGTAAGCACATAATTCAAATAATATTCACATAATTTCTCTTTATTACTTCAAAATAAGTTACAAAGGTTGACCTAGACTATTACACCATTATTAATGCTTTAGCCAGAAACACAGACGTTACAGATTGAGATAATGAGACTTGAGATGGTTGTGAAGGTTGTGCGTGAAATTGTTGAGGTTGAGAATATTGGGGTTGAAATTGTTAAGATTGTTGTTGAAAGGCTTGGAATAAGGATTGATTGAATTCTTGTGGTCATTGTTGTTGGTACTAGTTTGGTTGGTATGAAAGATTGGTGAATAGAGATTGTTGTTGGATTCTGGGTGATATCAATTGCATGTAACTAACGTTTGCATATGGATCATTTGGAGTTTTTGGGATGTTTGAAGTTGGTGAGTTATATTGATTTGGATCCATAGGTTGAAGAAAAAAAATGAGAAAATCAAAAATTGTGTGTTTTTGTAGTGTGAAATGTTTAGAAAATATGTGACATTTATAGTTGTAGTATATGTTTCTAAAATTGAAAAAGAAATAATTTTCTTTTTGGGTCCATCGTACACAACAAACGGTCAAAAAACGACCATTGATGCCTTCCTTCTTCATGTTTCGTCTGTCTTGGTTCATCCTCGCAACTACTTCACAAACAAACTACCAGACATCGGGATGGTGTTCACGTGTGACTTGATTGTCTAGCTTAGTTCTCATGCGTCATTTTTAGTACCATTCAAAATAGCCTTAGATAAACCATCTTGGGTTCTATGCTTTTATTTCTTTAAACCTCAAATCATTGAATAAAATAATCTTTGTTTATCTTTTAATACCATATATTTTGTTATTTAAAATTTTCAAATTAATTTTTTATTTATAGTTTTTAATGTTTAATTTTCAATTTTTAATATTATAATATTAACATAATATATCAAAAATATATAAATATCTTTAATGTTTTTATGTGTATTGTATAATTAAAAAATCACGTTTGCATTTTCGAATATCATTGATAATTTTTTTTTAATATATTGATTTTATAATAAATAAAAGATTAAAACTAAATTTTCACATTTATGCTGGTGTTGATCTTGGGTTTGAGTATTCGTATTCGTATTTTTATTTTTTCCCGTATTGAAGAAAACCTTTTTTGGGTTATATCATGCATTGGTTTATTTTGTAGATGAAAATGTGGTATTTTAAAAAAAAATAACAAAATGTTTTTTTATATATATAAAATGGTGGGCCGGTTAATGGTTTAAAATGAGCAAATGTCATAGTATATAATAAAATTATAAAAAAAACTAAATAATACATGAAATAAAAGAATCTTAAAAACAATTAGATAAAATATGAAAGATAGATATAGGATAAAAAATAGACAAAATTGCAAAAATGTCCTGTGGTATCCAAATTTTTAGGGTTTTAATCCAAACAGTGATTTTTTTGGTTTCGTAGTCCTTTCGTAGTGGTTTGTATGTGGAAATAGTCTCTCCGAAAATTGAAATGACTATAATACCCTTGGGGTATTTATTTTTCATTTTTCTTTCATTATTCTTAAACTTTAATATTTATTTATTTATTTTAACAATTAAAAAAAAGGTCCCTCTCTCTCTCTCTCCCTCTCTCTCTCACACACACACACACACAAGAAAACCTGTTGAATTCTTTGTCTCTTTCTTTTGAACCCATCCACCACAACTCCACCTTATATCTCCGCCATTAAAATCCGTCAAGCAAGCTTCAAAACACCACCATCTATTGCCTTCCTCCGGTTTTAGGAGCTTGCCACCAAAACCCATCAAGAACCGTCGCTGCCTCCATCAATAACCACCACCGGTGACTTTGATCACCGTGAATCACCACCAAACAACATCAAACCTCATCCCATCTCCTACTACCTCCCTCTCGACGACCTGCTGCCCAGAAAACGAAGAAGATAGCAACGCAACCAAGGCCTGCCACCCACGAACTTCCACCGCTACTTCTTCCCTCCGTCGTACCCATCTCAGTTTGCCTCCATCCTCATTGAACTCGTCGGAACAGGAAGTGGAAGCAACGAAGCTGCCATCACCGCTCACTGTCGCTGCTACTATAGATCTTCAACACCACCATATCCTTATACGATCTAGTGAGTAAACTGGGAACTCACCGAATCTGCAACATGAACAAGTCTTGAATTCTGATCGTGGTGTTGGTAATTGATTTTGGTGACTGGAAGAAGAGATGGTGGTGAGGAGTTAGGGTTTGAAAAAGACGAGGGTCATGAAGAAGATAATGGTGGGTTGTATCTTTGGGTATTGAAACTGGAGAGAGAGAGAGAGAGAGAGAGAGAGAGAGAGAGAGAGAGAGAGAGAGAGAGAGAGAGAGAGAGGGGTGGACCCTTTTTTATTTTTTTAATTGTTAAAATAAATAAATAAATATTAAATATTAAGAATAATGAAACAAAAATAAAAAATAAATACCCCAAGGGTATTATAGTCATTTCAATTTTCGAAGGGATCATTTTCACATACAAACCACTTCAAAAGGACTATGAAACCAAAATAGTCACTGTTTGGACTAAAACCCCAAAAATTTGTATACCACAGGAATTATTTTTGCAATTTTGTCTAAAAAATAATTCAATAGTCTTGTCTAGAAAGGAAAAGATATTGTAAAATTTTAGGTAAAAGGAATGTGACCCAATAAAAAATAGTCAAATTTAGAATGAATTGTATGTGTAGAAAAACCGTTTTAGTTATATTTTTGTCATTCAAAACCATTTTAGGTTCCGATATGGCCTATATTAATTATTCATAATCTATTTTTTAGAAAGTTTTATAAGACCAATCCTATAAGATTATTATACCGTTTTTAATGAACATTTGAATGAAAACACATTGTTATATTTTTATTTTAATAAAAAACAAATCAGCATAAAATTAACTTAAAAGTAATTAAAGCAAAATCAAACGTATTTTAAATGGACAAAAATATTGGTTTTTCCTTTTAAATTTTAAACAATCAAAATATTATGTTGTGGGTCTTTTTTCAGTTGTGCGACTTCAACGGTCGTAAGCTTTCTCCCTTCTATGAAATGATTCAGCGGTTGATGGATCGTTTGCTTCTCTTTACCAAATTGCCTAACAAGCAAATTCCTTCTACCTCTGTTTATTGATATTGTTTTCAAATCTATCAAAAGTTGTTGATTATTAGGGTGTAATGGACTCCAGAAATAGAGTGATCAATGCAAATCACGAGTCCTCAGCCCCCAAATTGTTCAAATACAGTAAAGGAGACACTGAAGAGCATATGAACAAAGCATTACTCAAGGGAGCTCTTAGCTATTCCCTTTCAAGTACGTTGTTCGTTATAAATTTGTGATTCTAAGTCGTTTGATTGCATATTTTTCCAGAATTTTAAGATTCTAAATTCAATTAGGGTTCTCCTTTTCAGAATTCGATTTTTAGTTTAGCGTATTCAGTTTAACGGACATGTTAATTGATGTTTTTTAGTAGTGGCTTTGGTTACTTGTACTTTGGAGTTTATGAAGCATTAGATGTTTTATTGTTATTAATCATTTTCCGTTGTCATAGAACTCCGTAATCTGTTTGATTTTACAAAGTGATGGTGAATGAATGATTATTTGTTTATGTCAATAATATGCCAAATGGATCGGATCGGTTGGTTACCTTTAGCTTTGTGTTGTTCATGTCGACATTTTTCATTCAAATTCATGATTGCTTCTTGTTTATTGGTGTACATTTTATACCTACAGATACTACATCAAGAACTACTGAGATTGAAAGCCTTTGTTACTCGAATGAAGCTGAAAATCCCCATAAGGTTATACGAGACTTATATGTCCCCAATCCCCCTCTTCACTAACACAAATAACTCTTGGTCCATTGTTGCTTTTTTATTGTGGTTAAAACGTTACCTTTATCTTCTAGTTGCAGGAAACACCATTTAAGAACCTGAAAATGGAACCAGAGAAGCAAAAACAAAGGTAAGAGTGTTAGAGTTTCTTATGATTGGAAAGACTAGCTATCACACTTAAAACCCTTCATATAGAGTTTCCTTTTGTAGGGATGCAGGTTTAACATGTAAGAGTGTTAGACCTCCACCTCCTAAGAAGCAAAAGCTTGAAGAAGCAAAAACAAGACAGGTTGATCCTTATTTTCTTTACACCTGAAATATGGCAATTTATATTTTAGTATACATCATCTAAGTTTTTCTTTCTTTTTCTTTTCATGCAGAATCATCAGTGCAAAACAAATCTAACAATTCCCAAAATACCCCTTTTACAGACATTGTTGAGGCCACAACATTCAAAGATTAGCAATTCCAAAGAACTAGAAAAAGAACAGCTGGAGAAAGCTCCAAAATTCTTATTCAAGGCCAGACCTTTAAACAAGAAGGTATAAAACATTAAAACTTAAACTTTTATAATTAAGTTTAACATATATATGATATATCCACTTGCAATTCCTGTAGATACTTGAAAGTAAAGGGGAATTGGGGCTATTATGTAACAAAAAACGACAAGTCACAATACCTCAAGAATTTCATTTTGCAATTGATAAAAGAATTCCACCACGAAGAACAGCCAATGATGTTGATTTGTTTAACAAGGTCTGTGAAGAGGAAGCATATATGATACACACCTATATATGTTATTCTCTTTTCTTTATGTAACCAAAGATCATTGTTGTGTTGATTTAACAGGTTGCATTCTTCTTAAAATCCCACAACAAGAAACTAATTCCAAGAAACACAATACCACGTCCCTTTCATTTCCAAACAGAGGAAAGAGGGGCACAAAAAGAAAGCAAATTTGTGGTCAAAATGCTACCCAAGCAAATAGAAGGGTGATGTTGCATCATTAAGTTCTGTTTTCTTTTGAAGTATTAAAAGATGTTACAATTTTATTCATTTTCACCAAACCATGATTTTTGAAAAAATAGGTCATCCAATGTGGCCACAAAATCCAAATCATCAACATTTAGTGGTCGTGTGATGAAGGAAAGACAAAGAAAGTTGCAGCATCAAACATGAGGCAATTGCAAAAGAAAGAACTAGTGTGTAATCAAGATTTTATTCAATATATATAAAGGTTATATGGAAAAAAAGTTGTGGGAGAGTAGTTATTTAGGAGTAGCACACCTAGGGGTGAGCAAAAACCGAACCGACTAAAAAAAAACCGATAAAACCGCAATAAACCGCAACCGAAAAACCGAAACCTATGCAAAAACCAATGGTGCAGATTTAATTTTTGCAAAAAGCGAAGGTCAACGGTGCGGTGCGGTTTCTATCCTAAAAACCGGTCCGCCAAAACCGAACCGCACCACAAGCGTGTATAGTAATAAATCAATCAATGTATATTATATACATGCTATTTAAAATAGTTATAAACGATAATATATTTATTATATGTTTATTTTGTGTTTGTATAAGACTATATGGGGTGTAAAAGAAATGTTCTATTGTTAGCCAAACGTACTAATCGATTACATGTAATAAGCTTGTAACAAATTAAGTCAAATTCAACCAACCTTCAATTATTAATTAGTTTGTGAGAGTGGTCACAAGTTGTATTTTAAGCGATTTACAATTTTTGATTATGTAATTTTGTTTTGAGCTGAAAATGAATGTATTGAAAAAAACAGCACAATACAAACTTATATGCACATGGTTTTCAGTTCTTACAGTTTTAAAAAAAACCCCACCAAAAAACATAAAAAAAACTGCACCAAATTCTTAACACGGTTTAAAAATCAAAACCGAATCGATACAAACCGAAACCGTATTTAAAAACCGAAAACCCAAACCATTACAAAACCGCACCCAACGGTTTTAAGAATGCAAAAACCGCACCATGCGGTTTGCGGTTCGGTTTGTTTTGAAAACCGTATCAAACCGCACCATGCTCACCTCTTAGCACACCCCTGTATTTTGCTACAGAGTTTTTGTATGTACATTTAATAAAAAATAATTTACTATAGAATTTGTACAAACAGAAAATCTTAAACATAAAATATACATAAAAGCAAAGATACATATAGTTAATTATGTAAAAAATTTTAATATATAAAAGTAAATTCGTAAAAAGATGTACATAGAAAACTGGGAAAATTTTATAAAAATTATTTGAAATATGTAAAATTGGAAAAAAAAAAAAAAAAAAAAAGACATAAACGAAGATGTACAAAAAAAAAAGTTAAAAAAAAAAAAAAAAAAAAAGTTGCAAAATGAGAAATTTGAAAAAAAAAAAAACGATAAATAGAAGATTAAAAATAAAAAAAATAAGTTCATTAAAAACAAAATTTGTAAAAATAAAAATAAATTAATGTTGGACTAAAACTGTAGAAAAAAATAAGGGTAAATGACACAAAAAATAATTTTTTTACACAGAAATTCAATTTTGACACCGTGCTTTTTTTTGTGTGTCAATATTGACACTGTGTTTTTCAGTTTGTTACAATTCTGACAACTTAACCGGTTAACCAGGTTACATCCTGACGTGACATGATGACGTGGCATGCTGACATGGTATACTGACGTGTCAAAATTGATTTTTTTTTTCCACAAAAAACACTAAATCTTCATTTTTTTTTTCGATTTTGACACTAAGTTTAATTTTTTATTTTAATTTTGACACTATGTTTTTTTTGTTCCAATCGAACATCATTTATCAAATTTTGTTCAATTTTGTCTATTTTCCATTTGAAACCGTATAAATATATTTTTTTATTACATTTTAAACCGTATAAACATATTTTTTCGTTTAAAAAGCACATTTTCATTTAAATACAAGGTGTTTTTTTTCTTACATTCAAAGCATTAGTTATATCATGAGAATCAAACTAACCATAAGCTTCTAATAAGATGTAAAAATTTGATGGGTTGCAAACTTAATATATAAGTTTTGATCGATTACACGCCTCCAAATCTTCAAACACATTTTAAAATTGTATATTTAATATAAAATACAATTTTTATATAACTAATACATATTTATATATAAAAATATGGTTTGAGTGTAAAAAAATGTATTTATACAAAACTATGGTTTTTAAATGAAAAAAAACATATTTATACGGTTTAAATGTATTAAAAAAATATTTATACGGTTTCAAATAGAAAATTGTTAACATTGAACAAAATTGGAAAAAATAATGTTCGATTTGGAACAAAAAAACATAATGTCAAAGTTGAAAGAAAAAATTAAACTTAGTATCAAAATCGAAAAACATGAAAACTTCGTGTTTTTTGTGAGAAAAAAAAATTCAATTTTGACACGTAAGCATATTATTATTATTACGTATGTACCTCTAAATAATTGATTTGATTTGCGTGTAGCTTTTATTTAGAGGTACATACGTAAAACCAAGGTTGTAAAACTCGCTACTTGGTATCTCTTCGGTCGACTGCCGAGTAGCGAGTACTCGAGAAGTACTCGGATTCAATAATTTATGTACAAATATTTTTTGGGAAATTATATATGTCAAAATCATAACTTAAAATCATAAGTTGATTGAAATATATAACAAAATTAGATACATGTGAATACATAAAAATTGAAAAACACATAATGATCTCACTTCATGTATACTTACTAAAAACTTAAGATATATGTAGTAATAATCACATATGTATGTGTTAAATAATAAATCATTAAAAATATTATACATAGTAATTACCAAGTTGACCGAGTTTTACACCACTACTCGCTTCAGTAAGGAGCCGATAGGGAAGTATTCAGATTTCGAAACTCGTCTCAGTGAGGGGCCGAGTAGGGAGTACTCGACCGAATAATTAACCAACTCTGCGAGTTTTACAATAGTGCATAAAATCCCTTTATGCATATGAATAAACATAAAAGCTTATGATTATCGACAAAAACCGAAGACTTTAAAGTTTTGGAAGAAAATGTTTTTATATTACAGACCATATGCTTTCAAATGAGGATTTCTCATTAATAAAATGATTTAGCAAATTCGTTTGACTTTGAAGGTGCAAAATATTGGCATTATAATGTCTAACATATATTTTGAAACTAATACTCGCAATGAAAACTTGAAATGGGATTTGCATATTTAGGATGCCACTTGGTTGTCTAAATGTTTGAACTTATGTAATAAGGAGGTTTTTAAGATGCACATTGCGGCAGGAATATAAAAATAACTATTTTGCTATAACATATTTTTTAAAGTTTAAGTTCACTTGTAATGACTTACTTATAACAACATACATGACATTTTTACTAATAATTTTATGGGTAAAAAAAACTACATTGGCAAAATTGTTAGCTGGGGGTCGTTAAAAGTATAATCATTATATATTGTAAAAGTTTAAAGATACAACGTTATAATAGAAAAAATAAAAGTGAGATGCTAAAAGAAAAAACCGCACAAAAGTAGATTGCCTCAAATCAAGAAGCGTTGTCAAACCTTCTGAGTTACTATATGCCACCTTATTACACTTCTGAGTTACTATATGCCAACTTATTACACTGTGAAGGGCAAAACTCTAAAATTATAACCTATGCACCAACAAATTTAAAAATTGTTAGTAATTTTAAATTGTGTATGGGTAAACAAATAACTCTTAAAACAATACTAATAGATGAAAAAGATATATATAATGTAACATCACAAAAATTACAATCAATTTAAACTTTCAAATCAACTCTTTCTAATAAAAGTAACCATTGTTTTCAAAACATTCTTCAAAACAGAGTCTCCCAAGATCAACAACATAATTATCAAGACGTCTACGGTCACACCTTTGCCTTCTTATAATCCTCGGAAATAACTATAAGGAAACGCTTAGTGAGTTCCCCAAAGTACCACCACACAATACACATATCACATACAACAAGCATGCTGGGTCCAATCAGTCATCGAACTGAAATACCTACAGGGCCGCAGCCATCAGGCTGGATTACCCCTGGCCCAATCAGTCATTGGACTGGAATGCCAATATACAATAGGTCCACTAATTCATCGGACTTGAATACCAATATACAATAGGTCCCTCAGTCATCGAACTGTAATACCAATATACAACGAGCCCACTCAGTCATCGAACTGGAATACCCTCGGGTCTGCTCAGTCATCGGACTAGAATACCCCAGTCTGTTGACTCATACACATAACAGTAAAGTCTCAACCCAACACGATATGCCGACATATAACATATAATAAGCATAATCAACAAACAGATAATCATGCAGCCAGAAATCACATTTAGTCCTATAGATCTACTGATCTACGCATATCAACACTATCATATAATCATACATATCTATCCCATACTCAGCATATCATAAGTCAATGTATAATAGGATATCAATCAAATGGGTCGGCCTTGGTGCATTCAACCCATGAGTACAGTGAGGAAAATATGTTGGAATAGTGTCTAAGGCTGCAACTATATTTGGTAAGTACTTGACCCGATTGAGCATGGTCCTTTTGGGTTGCCTTCACCATAGGCACTTGATAGGATGATTTACAATGAGAGAAGAAATATTATAAGGAATAATAATATTGTTATTTGATTAATATAAGTCATAAATTAATTAGGAATTAATTTGGTGACTTAAACAGATTAATTAAATAGAAGGGCATAAACTGTCAAGTGTATGATAGTTGTACTTTAGCCTATAATCCCTTATGGATAAGGGGTGGACGGTTTTAGGGGCTTAGGATAGACCTAAAATTCGTCCAAGGCTTATCATGAAGGGGATTAGGATTACTTAGGGCCTAAGTTATCCAATTAGGGTTTAAAGGTGAAACCCTAAGAGCCTTACAAGTATAAATAGACCCATAGGGTTGATGAAATCGTTACTCTTACTCTTGGAAGAACCCTGGCCAATTTCTAGTTCCCTCCCCACTCTCTCAAATCATCCTCTTGCTAGTTGGTGTTTGTAAACCATTAGAGGAGTGACAATTGTGACTCTAAAGCTCCAAGGACAAGAAGATCAAGCAAGTGATTCAATGTAAACTTATAACTCTGATTTCTTAATGTTATTATGATAAAATAACCATTAGAAGTCTTGGATTCATGCATGTTCAATTAGAGAAACCTAGATCCAAGCATTAGGGTTTTGTATGTGCACATAGGAATGTTCATATGGCTAAAACCCATCAGTGGTATCAGAGCCTAGATTGGTTTCTATTGAATTGATGCATTGGTTACTTGTTTGATGCTTGTAAAATTCGGATTTTGTGTTCCTGCCTGATGAACTCGACGAGTTCCATAGTGGACTCGGCGAGTAGGCCTCAACTCGGCGAGTCCATTGTGGTACTCGGCGAGTTCGAGCGTCAGAAAGAGCTAATTTCGGGATTTCTTGTTGTTTATCCTTTGGATACTTACCTTAATCATATTAGGTCAATATAAATCCGATTTTAAGATATATTTGAGTATATCCTTGACCTAATTGAAGATATTTATCAATTAATTAAATATTAGTTTCCTTATGTGATAATTGATTAATTATTTTAATTAAATTGGTAAATTGTGTTGCAAGAAATAATTAAATAAATCAAATATGGATAATTATGTGATTAAATGTTAATTTAGATTATTTGTTATTTGATCCCCTATGTTTTGAAAAGTTTAAAACATGACCTCAAGTTTTGAAATTTATGTTTTGTGATTAAAAGTTTAATTTAGACAATTTAAATTTCAAACCCTAGAATTTTACAAGTTTAAAATTCAACCCTATACTAATATAATATTACAAGATTAATATATATATATATATATATATATATATATATATATATATATATATATATGTATGTATGTATGTATAATTAAAATGCTAGTCTTACCGTTAGTAGGCCTCATTCACGAAGCCGGTCTATAAGGTGGGTATAAGGTTGCTGCCTATAAAATGACGCTTAATGGGTGTACACTCACACCCACCGCTT